GTTAAAAATTTTGGAGGGGAGGGGAGCTAAAATGTCCCCTCCCCTCCCCTCCCCTCCCTCCCCCCATTTTGGCTCCCCTCCAAATTGGGGGTTTTTGGAGGGGAGCCAAAATTTTAGACCATTATACCCTTATAATTTTTTTAATATTTCATTTCTACCCATAAAATATATTATTATAATATTTATTTCAAATAAAAAATATATTATCCTAAGTAAAAAAAATAAAAAATATATACATTATTATAATTAAAAATATATTATAAAAATTATTTAAATAAAAAATTATAATATTATAAAATTAATTGTTTTTTATAAATATATTATTTATTAAATATATTTTAAAGTTGGAAAAAAAGATAGCTTAAAGAAAATAAAATTTCATTTTTCTTAGAGCATATAAAATTTGTTAATTTGATTATTTTAAATATATTATTATATTAATTAGAATGAAAAATTACTATACCAATTTTTTAATACACATATTAACATGATAAGACTGAATTTTGATTAAATTATATAATTTAAATTAAGATGTAAATTAATTTATATAATACATCAATAAAAAACATAAACTAATATATAAGGGTAAAATAGTAAATTGATTATTACTATCCCTCCCCTCCCCTCCTTGAACCAAACAAGAGATCATTAAATACCCTCCCCTCCCCTCCTTTTTAATCAAACCAAACAAGGTGAGGATGAAACCTCCCCTCCCCTCCCCTCCCTCCCCTTCGCTCCCCTTCAACCAAACAGGCCCTAAATGTCTTTTTATAATTGCGTATAAAAGAGTGTAATTGCACCATTTTGGGTGGCAAAGAAGCAAACTGGCCGTATTGGCCCATTGTGGAACTCAAAGCAAGAGTCTTGGGAAGATGAAACATTGGGAATTATCGATCAGAGTTGATCTAGTTGATAAGTAGTCAACACATAACTCATAATATCATGAATTCGAATCCTATCATCGATGTGAGAATATTGTTGGTGAGCCATTTGTAAATATTTATGTAAATGTTTTTTGAGAATGATAGTATGTCTTGATTCTGGTAAGTTTTTGAGACCTAATTTACTAAAAGGGTGTTTGTATAAAAACTAAACTATGATTTTAGAAATGATTTTACGGTATACGAAATAAATACGTGGAGAAGTTTATCTCAATTTGTAGAAAAGTGTTTTTAAAAAAGCACTTCTCCTAATTCCCAAAAACCTCCTTAAATTTTTTTGTTAACAAAAAAAAGAAACATGGGGAATTGTTGTTGTGCCACGTATACAGGCTCATGTGAAGCAGTCTTGCCGTTCATTGCGGCACAATTAGACCGTTACCAAGGTGTGTGCGGGCGCGCGCGCATCACAATATTCCTGCTTTTATTCAAATGTTAGACGTTGAAACTAATGAACATACCGCTGGTCAAAAAAAGATAAACACACCAATTAGTCCGGCATTTTATAGTACTATCTCTCATTTTTAATATAAGAGATAGTTAACTAATTTAAATATATTAAAAAAATTAGATAAGTTAATTATTTATGATAAATATGTGTTGTATTTTCTAAAATATTTTTACTCATTCAGTATGTTGACTAGAACTACTATTATTACAAAGAATATCTTTAAAAAATAAATAAATATGACAGAAAAATAGAATAGGGTTTTATATTTAGGACCAAAATAAAATTTAAACAAACTCTTATATTAATAATCAGAAGTAGTATCTACTAATAAACAGCACTAGGATAAACCATATTTTTTCCAAATATATAAATAGTTAATTTATAAATACTAAGAGAACTGGTAAAGTTAATTGATTGTAATTTCTCTTATCAAGTCAGTTTAGACCTTACCTTAGCAGTCCACGTAAACAAATTTATCACCATTAAAGTCACATAAGCAAAAATTAAAAATTTTAATCTCATCAGTTTCGGGTTCTCATGAAGAAAATGCTTGGACCAGCTAGCGTTTCAAGTTGACAAAACTTAATGACGGGAAACTACCATTTGAAATTATAAGGGCCAAAATCAAAACACGATCAAATAATGGGATTAGCGGTGATATATATTAACCCATCCCCATCGTAATGCGTGTTGATTTATCTAAAATATACTTTTGATAATTACCTACAGAAACCCTTTTTTATATAGGGAAAATTTCATTTAAGAACTGCTGTTGAGAGTTTATATTAGATAGCCTACAAAACATTCTGAATATCACTATAGGACCAAACTGAAATTAAAATTAAGAATAAGATTACAATAATACCTTTCACTTTTATTTTTTTAAAAAATAAATATAAATGGTCGTCAAAGTTTTGGCCATTGGCGCTCAGGTAGCTACCGTCGGAGGTTGGAGCTCCGATGGTCGGAAGATTTTTTTTTTTTAAAACAAAGTGGCCAAAAGAATGTTTGAACCCATGACACATTGACACATCAAAAGTGATGTAACTACCAAACTAAGCAAACCATTTAATTATATGATGCAAATAAAAATATATAAAACAAAACAAACCCAAGTGTCCAAGTATAAGTGAACAAGTGAAATTCGACCGTTTACAAGTGAAATTCAGCAATTTACAACAAAAATTTGACAATTTACAAATAATATAATGAAATTCACATTTCCAAATGCAAGTGTTTAAGTACAAATGAGTAAGTGAAATTTGAAGATTTACAACAAAAATTTATGGATTTACAATCCAAATTTGGCTATTCACAAGAAACACAAGAGAATTTACAACTCAAAATGTAAGTGTTTGAGTGTAAGTAAACAAATGAAATTCAGTAATTTACAACAAAATTTTGACAATTTACAAATAACATAATGGAATTCACAACCCCAAATACAAGTATTTAAGTATAAATGAGCAAGTGAAATTTGAAGATTTACAATAAAAGTTTAAGGATTTACAAGTGAAATTCAGTATTTACAATGAAAATTTTATTTGCTTATTTACATTTAAACACTTGCATTTAGGGTTGTGAATTGCATTATGCTATTTGTAAATTACCAAATTTTTGTTGTAAATTGCTGAATTTCACTTGTAAATTGTCGAATTTTACTTGTTCACTTATACTCAAACACTTACATTCTGAGTTGTGAATTCTTTTGTATTTCTTGTGAATAGCTGAATTTGGGTTGTAAATCCATAAACTTTTATTGTAAATTTTCAAATTTCACTTGCTCATTTGCACTTAAACACTTGCATTTCGAGTTTTGAATTCTATTATGTTATTTGTAAATTGCCAAATTTTTGTGGTAAATTGCTGAATTTCACTTGTAAATTGTCAAATTTCACTTGTTCACTTACACTCAAACACATATTTTGGGTTATGAATTCTCTTATGTTTCTTGTGAATAGCCAAATTCGAGTTGTAAATCTTCAAATTTCACTTGTTTACTTATATTTAAACATTTGCATTTGGAGTTGTGAATTCCATTATATTATTTGTAAATTACTAAATTTTTGTTGTAAATTGTTGAATTTCACTTGTTCACTTATACTTGGACACTTGCATTTATTTTGTTATATGTATTTTTATTTACATCACATGATTAAATGGTTTACTTGGCTTGGTGGTTACGTCACTTTTGGTGTGTCAAGGGGTTATGGGTTCAAACCTTCCCTTGACTACCTTGTTTTTTTTTTAAAAAAAAAAAATCTTTCAGCCACCAAAGCTACAATAGCAGCCACCGGAGCTCCAACCTTCGCGGCGGCCACCTGAGCGCCAGTAGCTAGAATTCCGGCAACCATTAATTTTTTTTTTTTAAATGAGGGGTATTATTGTTATCTTACTCTTAATTTTAATTTCAGTTTGGTCTTTTGGTCCCGTAGTGATATTACAGAATGTTTTGGAGACTGTCTGATATAAATTCTCAACTGTGGTCCTTAAATAAAATTTTCCGCATTGTTTGAGAAAATATTTATGAATTTAGAAGATAAAATGAACAAACACCTCAACTACTTTTATTTTTAAGATTAGAGGGAGTATAATACTAGATACACACATCTCAATGAGATATTGTCATCTCGTTTAATTTAATCTTAACTCCATCAATGTTCCCATATTCCTTTTGCTCTAAGTATCTCATTTTTGTCCTTTTATGGTCATCTCATGCATGTACAGATAAGCTACTCCTTTTGATTTATAAGATTTATTTAATTAATTTAAGTAGATTAAAAAAAATTAAATAAATTGACTGATTTTAACAAATGTGATATAATCTTTTTAAAATATCATCGTATAATATAATATTATATTATATATAAAAAAATGATAAATATGATAAATAAAGTAAATCAAAATTTTATATTTTTAACCAAATTCAATTATTTAACTAGCTCATACAGAAGGACCTCAGCTTATTTGTAAAACATTAACCCATCCCATCGACTCACATCTAAGTATCTCTTTTTTGTCCTTTTATGGTTATCTCATGCATGTACAGAGCTTAAAAATATGATTTTTGTGATATATTTGTGTATCCAATTTCAATTTCAATTAGTTTGGTACATCTAAGAATAAACTAGCCACGCCAAACTAAATTGATTGAACACGCACACAAGTCAAAATAAGATTTCTGCACGACAAAATTGATTTAATCAATTTAATGTTTGGGTTTGATTTAATTGGTTTAGTTAAAATTGAATTAAAACCGATAAATAGCGAACTTGTTTTTGCATTATATGATTGAAAAGTTCATTGAGCAAGTAATGATATGATATTTTTGATATTTTAGCAACATGCTCTTGAGATTAATTTACATATATAATATCTTTATAGAAAAAGACACATCTAATACTCTGATCTTATTTTAGATGCATCAGAAAAATAAGATCAAATTGCTTGATACACTATGAATAAGTTCAGGATACTGAATTTACTGTTACTCTATCTTTATTAATGGCATCATAAAGCCCAAATTACTTAGAAATGAACATATAAACAAAACAATCTTTAAAATAAAAAATTAAGTTGCTACACTAAATAAAACAGCAATAAATCAAATCAAAATGCAAAACCAAAGCAAATCTTCTATTTAACAAAAATAATAAAGTCAGTTAACAAAATTAAACCTATACTCACTTCTATCCATTATCATATCACTTCTGTAGTAAACTATAAGATACATAATATGTCATAGCTCACCATAAATATACCTTAAACAAAATCTTAAACAAGCATTTCAGATACTGCAATTGATATAGTTGAACTGCTAATTCTGGTGAGTTCATATCATGTTCTTCCACTAAAATAATGCACTGTATATATGATTCAAAAGAATATATATCTCCACTACGTGCTATACACACACCCGCGCGCGCGCGCACACCCACACCACTGCTCTAGCAGGAAGCTGATCTTCCAATGCACTTTGGTCTCATGTCTTTCTTTGCTTCAATCCATGGCTAAATGAAAAGAAAGAAGAGGGATCACCTTGGACGACCAAGTTTGGAATAAGTTGAGGTGAACTTTCTCTAACGTTGTTATTATGACCCACCATCACATGGTCATAACTCATGTAAGGAGAACTGTAGTAGTCTAAAACACCAGATCCACTCTTATTAGGTATTATTGCACTGCACGTGTCACGATCATTACTTCCCGTTTGGTCGTTGGACGTTTTCTGATGATCATAAGGATTATCTTTAATGATATTATTATTGTTAATGGAACCGCATTGTCTGGGTTGCGTCTGGTAGAAAACCTTGGAAACAACGAGTTGTCCTTCTTTCTCTTCTTCGTTGGTTCCGAGGTGGTACTGATGCATCACCCAGCTGGTCTTCTCGGGCTTCCTTTTTCTGCCATAGTTAGTATAAAGAACAAGTATCTTCTTGAAACCCTTGAGTGCACCATTAACGAAGACTGGTCTTGTTTTGCCTGTTTTGTGCCATCTTGTTTCGCCTCCTTCTTCGTCTGTACAGTGAACCTTTCTTCTTTTCCTTGTCCCAGTTGTGTATGCTTTTGATGGCCTGTGGAAGAAGTGGCGAATCTGCCCATCTTTGCTTACTCCTGATGCACCATTCATGAAGAATATAATTAGTAGTGTTTCCCATCAATCACGTTTAGTTACACCAACTTTCTCAGAGACCTCCTTTTTTTCAACAATCAATTAATTATGGAATGATGAGTTTTAGAAAAAAAATAATGTTCATGTGTTGTGTTTTTGTTGTTACTGTATTATGATTAGGATGACTTTTTTCAGATTAATCAGTTCTTTTTAATGACTTTAGTTCAAGACAAAACAAGCCCCTCAGTTTGATTTATTGATTTTGATCCAATAGATAGGAAAATTACACTTGATTTAACAACTGTGCAGCACATGCAAATGTCAATGGTTAGATCAAGCTTTTCTTCAACTCACAGAATTAAGGCAACATACCATATTTCAAACAAGAAATTAAGAATAGAATGATATTTAAGAAGGAAAAGAAGATGCATATTTAATTTGGTTTGATGTTGAAAACTATGAGAACAGATATATAGTAACATAATGCATTTGGTGATTATCAACATGAAGCTAAATACACTAAAAATGATCCAATCTTATGCTTAATGAATAATCCAATCAACACACACACATTTGGTTATGCAAAGCAAACTGCAATTATCAAAGTAGCCATACTTTGAGTATTATAGCCATCTGCTAAGAAAATTTATAAACAAATGTAAATCCTTTTTCATATAAATTAATAGAATCTTGATTGATAGAAATTAAAATATTATCTACGGCTCTTATGAGGTAAGTTAACTTTAAAATGTATTGTCACTTTGTCATATAATCTTTTATATAAAAATGCATTTAAGTTTTGTATATCCATTGCTATAAAATTTAGAAGATGAAACATTATTATTTTTATATTTGTATCCCCTCTCTCCATATAGCTTCTGGATTAAGATACGGAATGGCATAAAGCATACACAAAACTGACAAAAGTGCCCATGCCGATTAAACAAAAGAAATTTTAAACTAAAACTCCTTCTTTTACATAATACTAAAATTAATATCCGTATTATGCACTAGAAGAAGTTAACCCCTCATATATCAAAAAAAAAAAGAAGTTAACCCCTCATCATCAAGACTAACAAATGCAGCAACTGCGTTTTACGTTGTGTGTGGGTAGTAGTTCATTCAACATTATTATGGCAAGCTGTTTAAAACTTTGGGGAATTTCTTGGCATATATGAACTGAATTTGTTGGTAATTAATAAGATAGTAAGGACTTGTTAACGTTAACATCTTACTTGCTCCTTTAGTTTGATAGCTGTGTGTTGCCAACTCAAGTGAATGATAAAGGCGCGCGCGCGCACAGAGGTATCTTCATTTTCTAATGCTTTTACATACACATAGTGTTCCTTTTATCTGTAATTGTATCTTCATATATATATATATGAGAGAATCACTATATCCAAAGCACATAATTAATTGAGAATATGCCACCCAAGCATATATGTACGTGGTAAAATTTAATCCATTGTTTTCAGCCCGCCGTAATTATTATTTAATAATGAAGTAATTTCCATTTGTAGAACCTGAATTCATGCAGCAAAACCAGGCACAACGACGACCCATCTCAATCAATTAAAACCCCAAAAAATGATGACAATGGACTACGGTACTATCAAGATGAAAACGAACAATAACAAATGAAAGAGAATTGAGGAATAGAATAAAATTTAAAATATAAAGATACCTGGTAGCTTTTCTGGGTGCGTATAACAGATACCATTTTCGCCTTCAAGAGTCGGAATGAACTGATCAATAAGAGGATGAAGTTTACGAACATCACACTCAACCTTGGCTTCCAAATGCTCTAAAATCTCCTGCTCGTTCGGATCAAACTTCACCCCAGATGGCAGCCCCGGCAATTCGTTCAGTATATCACCCTTGTTAATGATTTGCACAAGCAAAATAAAATATCTTAATTTCCCAAAACCTATATATAACACACACAAGCAAAATCTCAATCGAAATAAGAATTCCAACCTTTGATTTATATAAATACCTGATCTTGAAATTCTAGGGTATGTCCGCATGAAGGGCAAGTTATGATTTGCGTTTCAGAGGTTTTGGGATTGCTCATTTGAATGCCTTCCTCATCTTTGGACTCATTGCACCATGTCATCTTTCTGAGTTTATTTCCAGCTATAAGCTCATATATCCCTAATTAAGCACAGCTTTTCTTGTTTGGGCGTACGTTCCTCCTTCTGCTAGCAGCTTCCTAATACATGAAAAAGCGAGAAAGGAGAGAATATTAAAAGAGTAAAGGTAGCGGCTTGGCTTGTCTCTTTTGGAACACACGTTTTTCCCTGCATACCACAACGAATTTAACCACTTCTATATATACCGGGAAGACAGACTTCACTCTTTTTGCTTTTCTCTGCTTCTGATTTTTGCGTATGATTCAATGATTGAAGTGATGAACTGCTTGCTTTCGAAAACTCCTTCAGAGAGAGAGAGAGAGAGAGAGAGAGAGAGAGAGAGAGTTAAGGTCAGGAGCACAGGGGCATAAATGCAGAAAAAAAATAAAGAGGTTAGAGGAGAACAAAGTGAGATCTAGATATAGGAAAAAGATTGCTTGGACTTCAAGTTGGTGTTATTCCCGTATATACGCCTGTATCTCGGAATAAATGCACCCTTATGGGGTAGGTCTGGCTTGACTTTTTTGTCTTTTCACTTTATTATTAATTATTGACGATCTTCATACAACAAAGCGTCGTTAACATGACATGGGTGAAAATTAGAACTTTACTTGCAAAATTACTGCTATAACACAGATTGTAAAAGAAGGTTCGAGTCAAAATAGAGAAAGAAGGTGGGTACCTTGGAAAGAGTGGAGATGAGGCAACCTGATATTCTTCTTCATGGGACGTCTCACCTCTTGATCAGTTATATACATATAGAGCGAGAGAGATGTGAGAGTTGAGCTTCAGTTTGAAAATAGAGTGTACTTAAAGCTATGTTAAAATTCATATACAACAACATACGAACCAACAACGAAGGATGTTAACATTTTATATGTAACTTGCACCGAACCATAATACTGTATATTCCTAGCTATCGTGCTTTTATCGTTTTCTATCTTCACGGAGACTTCTTATTTTAAGTAAAGAATCTTTCTGTTTTCTGCTCTCTTTCTCCGCCTTCACACCCTTATAGGCATCCGTCACACCTTCACATTATATTTATTTAGGGGGAATCAAATAACCCACCTTCCTTCAAGTTTTCATACGTGGTGTTCAAATTAATTATATCATAATATATTTCTTCCCCAATCATTAACAATCATCACTAAGAAATTTTGATCTTAAAATAAGGATTTGATATGACTACAATTTTTTTTTTAATACTTGACAGTTTCGGAGTTGCAAGGCTGAAAGAATTACAGGTGGATATTGTTTAATCCTAATACAGCTAATGAAACGCGCACCTGCTAGTTGGAAGTCGGTCAAAGGCAAAGTTGAAACGGGTTTGATGATGTGGAATGATTTGAGTGGTTGAAGGGTGGAGGTAGAAGATACGTAGAGAAGAGAGGAGTACAGAGAAACGTAGGCCCAACATGATTATTAGAATAAATAATTATCCGCAGAGCAACCGACACGTTCTGTGAGCTTATCAGAGAAGCTACGCAACTGGAAGCTTAAGGGGTAAGCTTCGTGCTGTGATTGCATGCCTTGTATGGTACATATTATTTTCAATTCTATGAAACTTACTGGATAAGGTTTTAAGATTTTTGTTTTGTTTTTGAGTTGTCTTTTTGCTGGGAATCCACATGTTGGGAATGAATGAACCAGGGCTTTCCATAATCGTCAGCTTCCACCACAACCATATTGTTACCTTTAGAAGCGAAAAGATATGGCCGTAGAAACATATATGTACAGGAAATAACGTTGTATCTGTTTAAAAGACGACATAAATTTCTTTGTTATTAATTAATTACTAATATAAAGTATGTTTTCTATTTTAAAAATTAAGTTAAACGGAAATCATATGTAATCCTGTTTTAAATTTTATTGAAATTACATGATTTTTTATTTTTCTTGAAATTTTGTGTATGTGTGTGTACTGAAAAGAACTGCCTAGTTTCAATAAAATTCATCAAATAATTGTTTGAATTTACCACTGTTGAATAGTAAAATCAACATTAATAACATTAGTCCGCAGCTTTAATGAAAGCGAACGTAATAAAAGTACAGTGAGCCACAGGGATTATAGCTTAATTAAATATCTCACCATACAATGCTCGCACAATATTACTCTCTCTCTCTCTCTCTCTCTATGTATATGTGACATGCAACGACCTGTTCTAATTTTTCTCTAATTTTTTTCTGGTAGATATATAGAAATATCTTGCAAAGTATTCCATTGATCTGTCATCTATCCTGTGGCGAACAAATTAACATTCCTAGCAACTTCCTAATATCCAAACAAAACAATACGTTTGGCGGCTAATTATTTGAGTAAAAGTACTTTTATGAAGAATTCTACTTTTCAAAATGAAGAGCAGTCTCCCGCGGAGAGATGCATTTGAAAAGTTGTTTTAGTGTTCTAAAACCTTATGCCTTTATATGAGGACTCGAGGGCAAGGACGAACCCAAATACATTACCAATATTTATACTCGAAATATTTGATTTACTCTTGATAAAAAAAATATTTGATTTACTACTGCAATATTCTAGCTTTCAACATTATTATCACAGACAGCTCATATATAATTAATATCGCTGACATATTATTCAATAGTATAAAAACATCTTATTATCACACATGTTCACTACTGGCCGAAAGCAAATGCATATATACATATATAAATATATATATTTTAATTAATTTGTTATACTTTGAAATTAAGCCAATCATTGTTACGTACAGGTGATTTTCAAGTCGCATATGGTTTGACCAAGTTCAATACTTAGGACCAAAGAAAGTTGCTGTACGTACGAAGACAATGAAGGAAGTCTGAAACTGAATAGCATAGAACTAATGGGTTGTGTATAATTTTATCGAAATTGTTGTTATTGTTATCACTGATTATGTATAAATACTTAGGAGAATTACAATGAGGTCCTAAGAAAAAAATAATTACAAAACAAGTATAAAAATTATTATTTTTTATTTTAAAACTTGTCATTATAAGCTGCTGAAGTTGTTATTGAGACTTTTTAATAATTTTTTTTAGACTTCATTATAATTCATCTTAAATACTTTTTGATTTTTACTAATGTGAGATGAGAACTTTGTAGGTAAAGTTACTATAAATTTATTTATAAAAGATTTTTTTTAAAAAAAAAGTTCTATGATGCTTTCTCCCAAAAAAAAAAAAGACGACTACACCATGCATATGCTTTTTTAAGAAAAATGAATATACTATGAAGCCATGCTATAACACTTCTTTGAGAAAGCGTTGCAACATATTATTAATTAAATTTGTTTAAACAAAATATATATGCTACAACACTATAATTTGTTTTTGTATGTTTTTACAGGAGTATATTACCTTCTGTACTTAATATAAGAACTAATTAACTAATTTGAGTAGATTAAGAAAGCTTGTTAAGTTAGTTATTTGTAATAAATATGTGTTATATTCTCTACAACATCTTTGCTAATCGTGCATCCTAGTTAAAACTATCATTTGATGTGCAATTACTAGAAAGACTGTACCTTGAAAAAAAACTAAATAAATATGAAAGACAAAGTGAATCAAGATCTTATATTTAGAATCAAATTAAAAGTCAAACTAACTCTTATATTAAGAACCAGAGATAATAATATATAGAGTTCTTAAAAATGCTAGAAACTTAAAAAAAAAAAACACTACATCTGCATTTTTCTATAATAGTGAATAACAATATATACGCTGCATAAGTGCTTCTTTGTTATCACTTATAAGTACTTATAAGTACATTTTATATAAATCGAAACAAAACTCTTCTTACATACTTATCTCGTATTCTATAAATTACGATTGAAAAGCTCTTTATAAGCCATTTCAAACAAGTCTTTAAAGTTGTCTAATACTTAAGCAATTTAGCTAGATTAAATGCTATTGTTATAAGATTTTCATTATTTAATTATCTTCACTCTCTATTTAATCAAACCCAAAACAAATTGGATTTACAAATATAACAGGTGATCGTGATATGCAGAGAAGAGCATTATGCTGCAAAGCGATCATATATACAACAGCAAGGTATATAATTTGAAAACGCGCACACAAAGAGATAGAACGCGCATACAAATATATTACCTCCGTTTTATAAATAAGATGTTATAATTTGGACTGAAAGGAGTATATAGAGATAGAAAGCGAAAGATCGAAAGAGTTTTTTTTAAGGCCCCCTCTTCTTCCGAATTTCAACGTACGTAACTTACGCGTAAATTGACCGAGTCGACGGTCCTTTTCAAGCGGCGAATAAATTTCGGAATTGTGGGCCATGCCTATCACTAATCAAAAAAGTCAACAAGACTTCCGCTAAAATGCAATCAGAGACTTGAGTGGGAATCAAAGACTTTTGGACGATTAATATTGTACTACCCATCTTTTTTCCTCAACCATTTTTTAGTACATCATCTGAATGGGATGATTAACTGTTTGAATAAGTGTTCTATCTGCTACAAGTAAAAAATAATATTAAAAATATACTTATAACTATTTATTAATTACATCAATTTTAAAATAAAATTGATTAAAAAAACTTGTGCTAAAGAAACAATATATCTTTAATTCAATGCAATAAAAAATATATTTTTAAATATATGTGCGTGTATTTCAGATTTTCCAAAGTTGAATTATATGTACGACCTTTTTCTTATTACAACCAACATCTATATGTTAGCCTTTTTGTTTGTAGACAATCCCCCGGGGGGGTAATGATGCATATAGATTCATCCCTCCTATTTAAGAAAAATCCATTTAATTGTTTTTCACATGGAAAAAAAATCATTTTACTGAAATTTTTATTCAAATTAATTCAGTTGATCTTGCTCGAGATTTAAGCACTTAAGGCCCCTAATTATAATTAAGTAGGATAAATGGGAAGATACGTGCAATTAGGACAGCTGGGAAATATTAAACTTGTGTTTTATTTTAGAGTGCTTTTTTAGTCATATTTATAACATACAAGGAGAGTATACATTTTTTTAGTTTTATTTATAAATCACGTAATTAAAATTTTTAACACGAATAGAATTTATAGTAACAAACCATTAAAGTATAGACTATACATATTAAATAAGGGTGGGCAAAAAATATATACTATCTCCAATCCTTAATATCAGACTTAGTTGACTAATTTGAAGAGATAAATGAAGTTAGTTAGCCTTTTTTTTTTGTAATAAACAGATATTATTTTTTCTAAAATACTCTTATTAATCATGTGTATTGAAATTACAAATTGATAATAACTCCTTAACATATACAATCACTATAAGAATTACCTAAGGGCCCAATGAATAAATATTGAAGACAAAGTAGATTAGAGTATTATATTTAGAACCAAATTAAAAGTTAAAATAGTTCTTAT